GGGGGGCGAAAAAAAATTTCTGCCCCGGGCGCCCAGAACTCTGGTTACGCCACTGATGGGTCTAGCAAGGAAAGCTTAGTTGTAATGCTGTTTCTGGATACCATGAACAGTGCCTGCAGCCTGGGGCTGGTTTTGACACTGCAGATCTACTCAATGGCCCTTCAAGTAGGCCCCTCCGCGTGGAGAATGTAAATGAGAAGGCATGCACTGAAAATTGCAAATCACATGCATCTGGTGCACTGTTCCGTTAGTCCTCTCATGGATGGGGCCCAGGTTTGACTTGTATTTAACGTATAACTGAACACAGCTTATTCTGTGCTGTTGTACCTACAGAATACAGAATCAGATGTTCAGCACAGGATAATGTTTGTCTCATTCTAGTGCTCAGTACTAGATTTGGTGTGCTAATTATATGCTGGGAGCAACATTCTTTATGCTTGTTAACAGTATGATCCTCAGCTACCTAATGAACCATCTCAAACTTTTTGGCTGATATCATAAACTAAGGTAAAGTGCAACTGTCATGTGTGTAGTACATCAATGTATAGCAAAAATTATTGAACTTACTGTTGTCAGCTCTGCAATACCTGATTTATGATCAGTGTTGACAGGTTAATGTTAGGGCCACAGAAGCAGAATAGAAGTGGCCCCATGGGATTGTCGCCTCTATCACCCATGAGTTTTTTTAAAACGAATTATATGTGAATAGAGGTGTGGAGTGACTGTCATGTACATGTCTCCCTGGGACTGCTTTGTTGGTTCTTTCTGCTTTGTCTTTCAGGTTACAAGCTGCCTGCTGTTGCTAGGAAGATTTACCTCAGTTGCTGGACAGACCTTCAGTCAGCTGAGCACAGGATTGGTGACAGACTTTTGGCGGGAAAACAGCTGACCAATGAGTGTAACCTTTCCCCTCTATAGTCACTCCTGTCACTGGACAGTGTCAGCATTTACCTCAGAACTGCCAGCTGGACTCACCTCTGGATTATCTTCACAATTCCTTTTGGATCTTTACTGTACTTTCCCTTGTCGCGGTCAATCTTTATGGGGTAATGTCGCCCACTTTGTGGGTGGACAGTGGTTGGTAAAAAGTAATTTGGTTGGTGCAAGTTATTGCTGCTTGAGTCTTGATGACTAAGCATGGTGGTCTGTTAATGGCTAACAGTGGTTTTGTTTGGTAATAAAGGTTAAAGTCTATTTATTGGTTAAATTAATTAAAACCCAATAGGTGCCGCGGCCTAGTTATTCCACAATCGTTGTTGTGTTTTACTTTATTATTTAATTTTATTGTTATGGTATGATGGGTGTCAATGGGGTGTACAATCCCATGTACTTTTTGCTTTTATATTAAAAAACACAATCTCAGCTCCACATGTACCCCCACATAATTGGGAAATAGGTCTCTGGGGTCCTCTTGATTCATGAAGCGCAAACAGAGGGTCCCACACAGCCCAAAGCACCATGGCAAGCCCCTCTCCCAATCAATAGAGCTCCTTCCACAGCCAAGGCCCATAGCGGTGGGAAGGAGGCAGGCCTGTAGTCCCCTCATAATAGAGTACCGGAGGCTTCTGTCACACTTGGTCAGCAACAATGTTTATGTATTTGGTATGTATCAAAGTAACATCCATATGAATGGCAGGACCCAGGGTTTCTGAGCAGATTACTACCCAAAGCATCACACTGCCTACACTGGCTTGCCTTCTTCCCATAGTGCATCCTGGTGCCATCTCTTCACCAGGTAAGCAACACACATGCACCCAGTCATCCACATGATGTATCATTGTTATTCACTTCACCTCTCAGTGGTCATAATGTTATGGCACACACACACGTCTTGGATTGTACAGGAACAGAACATAATTTCTCCTTGCATGGTTAGTATATCAGGATTTTTACAGCAGTTGAGGAGACTTTGGCGTTATGTAAAGCAATATTACCATTGAACGTTCCTTTGTATTTTTTAGATTCTTCTATAAAGGACGGTATGTATGATCGGTTGTTATGACAAACCTTTTTCTGCCACTGACGCCCTAACAGACCTAGTCACAATTGGGCTCATATAAAAATCTGAAAATTCAGGTCTTTATTATAACTGTGCTATCTTACATATAAAAATGTTATATTTTCCCTTATTTGATTTTAATTTAATTTAGGCTGTGTCTAGTTATGGGGTTGCTGCTTTCTTCTGGGACCAGGTTGTTGACAAGGCATCAAGTTTAGGATTTCAGTTGACCGTCTATACCCCAAATGAAATGAAAGGCCCCATTCACACTTACCCGCGAACGAAGCCAGGTGATTTAGAGGCTTTTTGGGGGCATTGTAGTACAAGAGCCCCATAGACCGTTAAAGGAGAACTAGGAGGTGAGTGCTTTTCACTCAGCCTCATAATCTGAGCTGACCTGTAACATTGAAACTGTCACACGTTGGCTCAGTAGATCGGGAAGTGAGCGAACACATACCGACACTCGCTCACTTCTCGATCCTGTCACGGCAGAGAGCCGTGACAGCGGAGGGACTGGATTCTCCCCTCCCCTGTCCGCTCCTCCAGCGCTGACTGGCGGAACAGACGGGGGAGGGTACAGCTGGCTCTGCCTCTAGATAGGCAAAACTAGCTGTCACTCACGCAGCTGGGCAGATCCAGACATAATTGTCGGGATCCGCTTCAGCTGCGGCGTCCCAGTATACCGTGAGCTGTAGCTCGCGGTATACTGAGCTTAGGGTGACGGGAGGACGCTAGTTTGTGTTCTCCCGTTACCCTTCGGAGAACTATGGGGAAAAGCCCTAACCCCATAGTTCTCCTTTAAATGGGGGCACCTGAAAAATACCGTATGTGAAAATACGTGTCTTTCAGATGCTGCCACAGAAGTTTGTGGGACCAATAACACCCCATTCTGCCCCAAAGATTCAAGCTACAGGTTACTGGTGACACAATGCCCAGACGTAATCAGGCACCATTTAAAATAATGGGATTCTTTTTGTTGAGCGCTGAATCAAATGTGCTTCAAATTGCCCAGGTGTAAATGTGGTCAAAGAGTCTCAAGCTGGTCATACACTGGTAGATTTTCTTACCAACGTTCATGTGAAAAATCTTGCCAGTACATTCGATAATTCCATCAGACTTAATGAATGTGATTTCTAATTCAATTTGGTTTTAACATCCAATTTTGGAATGAATTGACTTTCCTGAATGAAAACCACATTCACTGTTCATTAGAAAAAAACCCCAGTAACGATTACAAAAAAATCGAATGAACATTCTGACAACAATTTGTTTTAGGCCCCTTTCATGCAGGCGCTGTCAGTTCTGATCAGCATTGGATGTGTGCATGAATCCCCTGCTGATCGGAGCAGCTTGGAATAGATGTCATCTCTGTGATGTCCGTCCAGGTTTTTTTTCCTCCATTTTACGATGGAGAAAAACCAGAGCAGACCGAACCCATGTTTGTCTATGGGGAGTTGGATGTAAGCGTGTAATGTGTCCATTTACACCAGATTACACCCGATCCATCATGATCAGGTCTGCCAAAACAGAACTTTGTACCATTTCTTTTTACCTAGACAGAGTCACGGGTAACTGGATGTCCACAGTTGCATGTCTGCTTAGATCTGGCTGCCCACAGACTTACAATGAGCTTACGACCAGATTCACCAGAAAATGTAGGGCAAAGCTGGGTACACACAGTCATATTTCTTTTGTTTAACCAGTTGACATCCGCGGTGTTAAACCCCCTTCCCATCCCGGCCATTTTTCAGTATTCAGCGCTGCGGTACTTTGACTGACATTTATTCCGTCATGCAATGCTGTACTGAAATTAATTTTATACCCTTTTTTGGGGACAGATAGAGCTTTCTTTTGGTGGTATTTATTCACCACTGGGGGTTTTATTTTTTTCTATATTAAGGAAAAATTACCGAAATTTAAAAAAACAAAACTGTTTCCCCTATATTAAATGATAAAACATTTATTATTACCCAATTTTTTATTATTTTTTTGCACTTATTGTTATTGCTATTATATAGGGGGATAACAATCCCCCTATATAATAGCAAAGGCACACTGACAGGTCCTCTTTATGGAGACATTAGGGGTCCCCAGGACCCCTAATGTCACCTGTGGACCCCAAAAGAAGCTGATGAAGCAGAGATCTGCTTCATCAGCTTCTTTTCTCTGGCTATGACAGGTGAATGCGGAAGTGATGTAGCTGATCTCCCTTCCTCCTGACGCCCTCCGAGCCGGTCCCTGGCCACAGATGGGGCAGCGGATCCCGGGATTCAAGGTGAGGGGTCAGAGGGGAGTGGGACAAAAAACCGACGGCGGCCGCGGGGGGTTGTGCCGAAAAAAGGAGCACATATAGACGATCAGCGGGCTATGGGCAGAAGCCCCTAGCGTGTGTGCGCAGAAGCTCACAAAAGATGTAAACAACCGGTACTGGCTGTTCCATTCAAGCGTTCCGGTGGCTCTACAGCCACCCGATTGCTTGTATGGTGAAAAACAGCGTGCGGACTCCCGCCCTACTGCTGCAGCGCCCCTCTCCACTGCTGCCGCCGGTTATCCCAGGCTCCGTTGTCCCCCATGTGGGCCCAGGACCGGCACAGCGGCTGCTTACAGTGTAAGATCTCTCTTGTTGATCTCTCTTCCGATCTCTGATGGTGGAAGTGATGTGTATTACAACATCTCAGCATTCAGCTGTAATTTCTCTGGCTGCTGTAGCCAGAGAAGAAGCTGGTGAAGCATATCTCTACTACGTCAGCTTCTTTGGGGGTCCCAAGGTGACAGGGGTCTTAGAGATCCCTGTGTCTCCATAAAGAGGCCCTGTCACTGGATATCACTTAGGGGGCTTGAAAGTGTAAGAAAAAAAAAAGTTTACAAAAAATGTAAGTCACATAAAAAAAGTAAAAACACAATTTTTTTATTTTTTTTAAAGTCCCCCCCCCTGCATGCACATATAAACATAAATACTCGTTGGTTGTGCCTCCGTGTGAAAACAACGATTACGCCACACACATTATATATCACCGCAAACGTCAAGAGTGTGAGCAATAATTCTAGGGCCATCAATCACTGAACTGATGAGCGGTAAAAACATAGCCTGTGGACAATTTTGGATATGGTAGTTTCTTGCGATTTCATGAGTGCGCGCAATATTAAAGCTTGGCATGTTTGGTGTCTATTTACCTGACGTGACCCCGTCTTTTATATTTGACCAAAAATTTGAGTAATAATAAATATTTTATAACATAACGTAGCAAAACTGTTTTGTTTTTTTCATTATATAGTAAAAAAATTAAGAATTCAGTGGTGATTAAATACCACCAAAAGAAAGCTCTATCTGTTCCCCCAAAAAAGGTCTAAAATTCATTTCAGCACAGCGTTGCATGACTGGATAAAAGTCACTCAAAGTACCGCAGAGCTGAATACGGAAAGATGGCCTGGCCAGGAAGGGGGTTTAGCACCCCGCTCATAAAGAGGTTAAGCTTTCATACTTATACTTAGCAGAAAATGTGATTTCTGTACACTGGGCCTCTATTTTTATATATAAAATTGAGTTATGCTCTTCATAAGAGTTACAACAAGTAAAGAAAACAGAGCTAGCATTAAGAAAAAAACTCAATCACATCCATCTCTGTTTTATTACATTTTAAAAATCAGTATTTCACATCAGCTTCCACTCATATTGTATTATTATTGCCTTAGCAGCGATAAAAAACCCAAAACAAACCTCAACACCCCCCCTTCCTTCCTTTCCAGCCCCTGATAACTGGCAATGGGATCTGCCTGAGCACAGCTGTGATTTTCCCGTCATTCCTTTTCTGGGACTACATGTATGCTTCTAAACTACTCCCAGACTATCTGACCTTGGACTAAAGGCTTACAATTTATAGCTTACCTTCCTTCCATTCACAAAAAACAGCAGCTCACTTGAATCAGTTGGACTTGTCATGTTTAGTGTCCGATTAAGTGTGCGGACTGCGTGTTTGAATGTAGCTTAACAAACAGTTTTGGGAACTGAGCCAACATAAAAAAAGAATCCTCCTCTGTGTTTCCATTGGCAGAAGAATTGTGGGAAGTCCACAGTCCAGAACAATAGTGCCTCCTTGTAACTTACATAAAAAGGTGATAACATTCATAGTGTATAGCAAGCAATGTGCAGTATTTGATACAGATGCTTGTTCACATCTACATGACATTTATTAATATTCAGTTGCTGCATAGTTTTACACCATGTTCAGGAAACAACGTGCTCGCAGGAGGCCTACTTTAAAAGAGCAGCATACATGCAAGTGTGCAGCTAGATAAAAAGAGCAGCATACATAAGAGCAGTATGCATGCAATCAGTGTGCAACTACATCAAAAGAGCAGTATGCATGCAATCAGTGTGCAACTACATCAAAAGAGCAGCATGCATGCAATCAGTGTGCAGCTACATCAAAAGAGCAGCATGCATGCAATCAGTGTGCAGCTACATCAAAAGAGCAGTATGCATGCAATCAGTGTGCAGCTACATCAAAAGAGCAGTATGCATGCAATCAGTGTGCAGCTACATCAAAACAACAGCGCCGGTGGGAACAGAGGTCAGAAATAGCATAGGGATACATTAGGATGCATTTTGGGCCCGGAAACAATCTAGTCTGGTCTGGAGATGATCTGGATGTGGTGTGGCTGTGGTGTGGCAGTGCTTTTGGCCTCTGGAACGCAACCGGGCCGCCTCACTTTGTTTTGGGGCAGGAGGGGGGTGTGGCAGTGCATTGAAGTCAATGGCACTGCAGCTACGCCAGCAGTGCGATCGCTGGCACCCGAACGTGTGGCCTAGTGCCTGCGTTCCAGTCCAGTGCGATCTGCAAATAATGTGCTATTTTTTGCAGATTGCGCTGGACCGGAAGGCAGGCACTAATGTGCCACACGTTCGGGTGCCAGCGATCGCACTGCTGGCGGGAGGCGTGGCTGCGGTGCCATGAACTTCAATGCACCGCCACGCCCCCTCACACCCCAAAACAAAGTGATCCGGTCGGGTTGTGTTCCAGTGCATTCCAGAGGCCGAACGCACTCTTTATGGTGTGAATAATGAATGGTTCCTCCACCCGCACTGTGTAGCATTGATGGAATGTGGGAACGCCACATATGGGTGCTTACTGAACTTCTTGTTGCTTAATAGCACAAGACGGGTGCTTTCTAGAGTCTGGTTGTAGATCCCCACTGTCACCTGTGGTGTGCTGCGTAGCAACTGACATGTTTCTCTCAGGTTACCCAGGAAAAGGGGAGGTGGGGGTCTAGGACGTGAAAGCTTGGAAGGTGCAAGGACCAGTTGAGGGAATGAATTGTCAGCAGAGTGTGGCAGGCAAGTTCCCATTTGTGTTCTTTGACAACGTTCTTACTCTTTAAGCAATGGTCATAAAAGGAGTGTTTATGTGGCAATGACTCAGCAGAAATCAATACGTTTTTCTTGTACTGCTGGTTTGATTGCTTTTTTATTGTTCTTTGAAATGTTCATATTTTTCACAATTACGACTATATATTACATGGATTGCTTCAACTACAACTGAGCATATATTATTTAATTAAAGCTTTCCAGGTATCAATATACTGTATGTAAGGGACTACAATTCAGTGTGTGCAGATGTCATCTAAAACCCGTATTCCAAACCATCTGTACAAAAAGAACATTTATCGCTGCTGGGACCACCATTATCTTTTTACCGTGGGAAAAATGAGGCAGGAGCATCAATTATAACACACACTGGAAAATTGCACCACGTCTGTGTAAAGCTGCCCATACACATTGCGATCATCAGACAAAACTTTTCGTCTGATGATCGAACCGTCGTACGATTTTCGTAAAGCGGCCCCAATCTGCCCTGATTATTGCAAGGTTGAATTATTAGTAATTCACAGGAAGTCACCTGGACGGATTGCGGTAATCGAGCGCACGTATTTTCGTCTGCGCATGTGCAGTGTATATCGTACGAATTTTGACGTACGGAAACGCCACCAACCTTGTGAAAATCGTACGATCGACCAAAGTTTTCTAACCTGCTGGTAAGTCAAAAGTCGAAGGATTGTACAGTATTTGCGGTTGTACACTGCCCATCACCCTTACGAATATCAGACAAAAACCTGATCGCATACGAAAATCGGCCGATATTCGTAAGGTGTATGGGCAGCTTAAGGATCCTTTCAGGGCAGCACATTGTCTTGCATGGTAAGTTGACACTTGCTAAATCTATGGACTCTCCTCTGCCATCTGCTGGACCCTACTCAGTATGGCAGGCATGGTCACACTGCAACTCCATCAGCGTACCCAAACTGAGAGCTTTCATTCTGTGCCTGATGTTTGTGTATTTCTATCTGTCTGGCTACCTTGTGCTTATATTCAGATTCATCAGTGGTCTCAACTTGGACTTCCCTTGATTTTGCATGCTGCCTGTCCTAATCTGTAGCTTGTGTTCCCTGAACACCTTGCCTGCCACCCTCCCTGACCTCCAGCCTGTCTGATTTTATTACTGCTTTTACATACTGTACGGGCTGCACAAGTCAAGTTGGATATCACAGTCCCCATGGGTTGTCAGCAGCACATCTGAACATCTGCCCCTTCAGTGGATCTGGAAAAAGCCTGACACATCAAAGTTGCACCTTGGAGAAAGCCCTCCGCCCCTGCTTGTGACACAGAGGGTCATGATTCACTGCACTCTTTTACAGTTTGTTGACTTCAATCATACCTATTTAGTGGGCAGATTGGGATTAGGGTGCCCACTATGCCATACAGAAAGCATGTCAAAATATTTCAGACAGGTAAAGGCAGATCTATGAGGTTAACCAGAATCCACTAACAGTTCCTGCAAAATATTAAGTAAACTACTACAGTCTTTACATAAAGACCAAAACAGCTTGCCAAATTTACTAACACCTCTTAACCCAGTCATTAGCATTAGTAAATATGGGTATTCTGCAAGTTCTTTTTCCACACCACCTTGTGTTAGTAAACATTCCTCCTGTAAGGAGACATGGGGGTTGATTTACTAAAGGCTAATAAGCTATTTACTTTGAAAAGGAAGTTTCACGCTGTAGGAGAACTTTCCCCTACCTTGGTGAATGTGTAAAAAATTTACTTTGCACATAGAACCCAATCACGTGCAAGGAAACTACATAAAACAATATTGTTGCTTGCACATGCTGGGGTGATGGAGGTCAGCAGAGCTCATTCACTAAACTAAGGGGAAACTTCCCCTACAAAGTGAAAATTCCCTTGTAAAGTGTCAAGCCTATTTGCCGGTAGTACATCAACCTCATGTGAAGCTGTAAATCTTAGTGGTACAAAGCTTGCCATCTCATAAAAAGCATCAAATAGCAAGTCTTGCTAACTGCAAAAGTTGTGCAGGAATATATTGCCCTGCACATCCATACTCAATGTTCCAAAAGAAATGATGCTTTATATGGGTTTAGTCACAAACCACACCCAGGTAATCTTTTAATCGCTATACGTAGCTAATACAATTAAGGTGCATTTATTTATGGTCAGTCTGTTCATGCCACCTGTATATGCTTTAACTGCATCCTTTACAACTCTCCCCCCAAAAAATCAAAACACACTTAAACCATCAGTTATTGGATTGTATTTTGGTCAAAATATTTAAACTCATCCCCCATGCCTACGATCCTACATAATAATCATTTAAAGGGTAAAGTATGAAACTAGAGAGACCAACCTGCCAGAGTATACAACCTGCCAGAGGGAGAACTAGATATTATTGTCCACATGCTCATAAAGGGGAAACTGGCAGGGCCAGATTTGCCCTTATGCCACAATAGCCATGGCATAGGGCACCAATTCCCTGGGAGGTGGGACTGAACAGGCAATTACAAGTCTGCTGAATCCAGGACACTCTGCAGAGTGCCAGCAGATACCTGTGCTAAAACACTGAGCTGAGCTCAGCTAAGGCTTGGAGTTGACCCAATTCTTTTACAATAGATGAAGTAACAAAATTATAAGGAAAAATGAGATCTGATTCACAATTAGTCCCCCAAATCTTGCTCATTGTTTCCCATTATCTCAATTATAGTTCATACTGTTGGAAGTACAACAGCATACTGATTGTGTTGCTGACTGTAACTATGTCTTTTGAGCACTAGATGGCGCTGTAGTGCAATTTCAGTCTCTATGCTTATGCATGTTTGTCTATGATTTATATGTTTTCTGTTTGATGCTGTAAGCCTGTACACAGATGTAATCTTCTTATTAACAAGTACAACTTCATTCAGCGTTCCTCATGATCTCAGTACTTCATCTAAACACATAACCAACAGGTTATGCGCCCAGACACTGAACGGAACACTGCAAGTCAACAAGTGCTGCATCCCAGCTGCTGAAAGATGGCAAGTATTTCAGATATGAAGTTTGGAATGGCAAAGCTGAACAATAGCAACTACCAGCTATGGAAGTTCAAGCTTGAAATGCTGCTAAGCAAAGACGACTTGTGGCAAGTACTGAGTACGGCAGTGGTGAACCTAAGGAACAAAGGGCCCTGGTGCAAGATTTTTTTTGGCCCCCCCCCCAAAAAAAACCCACAAACACAGCGCTCTCCTCCCGCAGTGCTCGGCCGGTGTTCACTTTCTATCCTCCCTGCTGGGACACAGAGCAGCGCCCAGCGGGGAGGAAAGAAAGCAGGGATGCGTTGCTGTATCAGCAGAAAAATTGCATTATTGCTCTCACTGCGACGTTCGAGGCGATATGTAACATGTGCAGCACAATTGTCGGTTTTCGCACGTAGGTGCTCCGACGCGTGTGTATCTGGAGAACGGGGGACTTTAAAAAAAAATTCCCATTTTTTTTATGTTACTTTAATTTTTAAACACTTTTTTTTTGTACACTAACCCTATTGGTATTACATAGGGGGCTAACAAGCACCATGTGTCATAGCAGATAGGGTGTGGCAGGTCCTCTTTATGGAGGCATCAGGGGTCT